ATGAAATTTACACATTCCAGGGTCAAGCGACAATACGGTTCACCGGCGCACCTTCAACAATGGTCTGTCGATCAACGTTCATACCAGCAGCCGCTCGGATATCGAGAAAGTTTCATTGGCACGGAAGACTACTATCCGAATGTAGACTACTACAACTACTACTCACAACGAGCGATCGCTCCTCACCAGGCGCCCAGGTCATGGACTCTGGATGGATATAATAGTTACAACTACATATACCGTCCTCGTCTTACAACACTCATAGCTCCCATTCTTCAGGTTACGCTATAAAACCCGTCTCTTCCAGTGTTGGTAGCTCCTACGCTAGACCCATTATTATTGGGGAAGTAACCCAAGCTCCAATCAAGAATTCCATTCCTGTTGGTCCTAGTACAACAGCGAAGGACGAGTATCCTACACCACCTTCGGAGTGGGAAGGCGGTCCTGATACGAGGTTTTTTGCAAGAGAAAACTTTCCTAGTGATTCACCAGCCACTTTGGCCAGCCAAAAGCCTGAGACCAGCACTAAAGCAACGTCATCGGTCAGATTTTTCGAAGGGGAAGGATTCGATGAAAATGGCCCGTTTGTGAGTCACGCGTGGAGGTCGTAAGCGAAGGTGAACCAACCGATTTAAATGATTCCTTTTTGAAGGCCGCTGTTGAAGAGGACATCAACGAGACCGAAGCCTCTTCCTTCTCAACACCTGCCGGCGAAGAAACTGGAAAATCCTCCTCGACAACATTGGAGCCCAAAGAAGTAGAGCCGAACCCAAGCGATAATGAGTCAGACAAGAAGGTCGTTGAGGTCACCGAGGAAACTACAACAATTACTCCGACTGATGGCGGCTTTAGCACTCCACAAGCAGTTATAGAGGAGGCAACGGCATTGTTCATAGACAATGAGGATTCATTTGTTACAACCAGCACTGAGCCAGTACCTAGTACTTCTGAGTCGAGCAGTCCCTCTGATTCGACGATTGTTTCTCAGGACAAATTCATTCCGACAGAAGTTCCAGCCGCAGATTTCTATGAGGTATCTACCGAATCAACCGAGTCAGCAAGTTCGAATGCCACAGTGATTCTGCGATCGCCCCCCTTGCCCATTCAAGTCGCAGAAAAGTTGAAGGAGCTAGGGTTCACCGTTCTGAGGCTATTCAGTTGAATCTCTGTCAATCCCTTTGCTGCCGTTCTTTGAACCCAAAAGACCATGGTTCGAATTTTTCTTGTTGTCATACTTCTCTGATATTAGTTTACTTTCATGATCAAGAGTCGCAGTTTTCGAACAGCAATTAATTATTGCACCTTGTAATATTTAATGCTGAATAATTTAGTGTGAATCTCTGAAACATATGATTTCAGCTGTTCGTTTTCTCTCGGGATTGTGTTCTTTTTCAGGAATAACATATATATTTGTTAGCCTCTAGTGCTATAATTGTTCTACTGTAAAACTTTTACGCTCCAATTGCTTCCAACGCAGGTGCATAAAATAATTATCATTGCTACATTATACCACCGTATATATCTCATTTGGAGAAAATAAATGAATAATTCACACAGTATTCACTCAAATCAACCTTTGCTTGCTCTGTGCAACACTTTCATGGTGAAACTACGTAAATTTGGTTCATGTAATTGAAATGGCCTATTTAGAGGAAGACACTCTTGAATCTCACCATATTTGCTGTGATCACAGTGATGAGTTAATGAAATAGCGCTAAAGAACATCGATAAATGGAAGAGCTTGAAGATGACAAGAGTACGACCGGTAAAAGTTAGGGGGCACACAATTTTGTTCCCCAATGCTTAAGATAAGAATGAGGGCTAGTAGCACGTAATCGATCATTCAGGGTGTCCTTCTGATAAGTATCGTGTACAGTGAGATGTACCCTTAGGGTGCTTCCCCAAGTCATTCTAAAATGGTCCAAGGAACGGTCCTGAATCAGGAGAATGGAGAGATTTGCTTAGAATAAGGGTGCAGGAGCTGCGGGACGGCTTGGTGAAGAAACTGGACAGGATGTCGGCAGGAAGTGTGTAGTGTAAGGCACCACCGGCGTTAGTTAAAAATGCACGTTCAAATGTTGTTTCAGCGCATTATCTTGGTCCGGCAGTCTTAAGGATCCTTAAGGAGTGCTCTCTAGCTCTCTAGCACTAACAAGGAGCGATTCAGGGCAAGCCGCGCTCCAGGGTCAACCGTTACGTTGGACCGATATTGGAGCGACGTTGGACCGATGTTCACCGCTCTCCGCGCCGGCATTCACTCTCGCCACCCGCGAGCCGTCTGTGTCTCCGTGCGTACGTTCACTCTCGGCATTACTCTCGTCGTCGCGTTGGACTTTGTCCAACGGACGGTTGACCCTGGCGCTTCTTGGAACGCTTTCTTGCGTGTTGTAGGGACGCAGGCAGGGACCACAAAACCATGTTTCGCATGTTTCGTTTTCGGTGAACGGTTTTAGTACTATGAAAAAAGTGTTGAACATTACCTTAATGGTTCGATCCCCTGCGGCGACGAAATTTTGCAGTCAAGATTGGCGGCAAGTTGTTGGCTTCAAAATGGTTCCGTCGATAAACACGTCATCTGATTTTGACATTTAACGCGATTTGCTCGCCCAACGCGTAGGCGCCAATCCTAATGCAAAATTATATCGCCACGGGGATCGACCATAACATATCTGAAAGCGGGTCAACCGTCACGTTGGACCGATTTCGAAAATTTTACGACCCCCCCCCCCTTCCTAGAGGGCCTCGATACGACCCCCCTCAGGGTCAACCCTTCACCACCTCGCCTGATCGCCATCATGGGGCTCATTCTATAGTATTCGATTCTGAGACCAGTCGACACAGCCCAAACCCGCCCCACTTTTTCCTCCAAAATTGCCGTCGAGGGGGGTATATACCTATCACGAAACCGCAAACATCTCTCACTTTCCCTCTATTTCACCAAACACTCCACTGCAACAATGTTCAGGAGGGGGGGGGGGGTTGCGGCCAACAACTGCCACCATCACTCCCCTTACTGTAACATTAACGCTACCTCGCAAAGTACGACCCCCCTTTTTCCACCCCAAATAGGACCACTTACAAAGGGGGTCTTTCAGACAGGGTCAATCCTGCGTTGGACCAAGGCACGGTTGACCCTGTCTGAAAGACCCCCTTTGTTAAGGAGATGGATACTAAGGAGCCCCCCCACTCCCAAATTGAATTTTCACCTTATCATCCTAGCAACTTGCAATATCCCTACAAATTAAAGTTTGTTACGTCCTTTTTAAGTAAAATTAAAAGGACGTGACAACCTGCACGTACGCACCATGGTGGGAGTGCAGTGATCGGTCAGTCTCATTTCCTACTATATTCTGGCGCGGAGAGGCTAAGGGTGGTGGTGAAGCCAAGGTGAGTGACCAATGTTGGATTCGACTCGGATTGCACCTTTTGCTCGAGTTGCTACTAGTTAGGAGTGAGTGAGCGTTAAGTAGGATAAGTTTCATTTGAGAATTTCCGAATGCTTCCTTCAGGCCTTGAAGACGACGAGCTAGTCGAAACGTCGGCACAATAAACGCTTCACTATAAAAAAAAAAAGCTTGGCACAGAGAAAAACCTTCGAAAACAACAGAATTTAGGAGGAATTCAAGATCTAAATGGCTCGTTGTGCTTTTTGTGAATGCGGCTCTAGAAACTGAAAGTGGGCGGGATTCAGATGCACACATATGTCTGCTGTTATAGAAGGAACAAGAATAAAATAGCTAGGTAAGTCTGAGGCTCTTGTTTGACAGGATGGAAATGCTTGAAGCATCTCTGCTCGCTTGTAGGGCTTTAAGATCTAATTCTTAGGGCTTCTTAATCTCAATCACAAATATGCAATAAACAGGTGAGGGCCAGATTTGTGTTGCAGCAGAGTTGTACGTGTGTATTTCGCATGATTATTTTCTTAAGAAGATGCTACAGTAGCCTCCTTGTCAAAGCGACTAACGAGGAAACGCTTGCGGTGAACTAGTTCTGGCCCGCCCGCAACACATACCTCCTGACTTACGGTAAGCGAATGCCCAAAAATCCATTACTAAGATATTTTAATAAAGACTTCAAAAACGCAAAGGAAGAGATCGCTCATCTAAAAATATTCTGGAACCATCTCTCAAACAAAAATGGTTTTACTACTCGACTTTCCAAATTGTTGCCTATATCCGAATTGTAGCCAGCCTTGCGAAAGAAGAACCCGAAATATAGTCTGCGGACATCCTGTATAACCTTTTGTGTTGAACCTCAACTGGCAAGGTAGTACAAGAATGTAAGGTCCCACGAGAATCTGTACAGGCCCTTTTCTGGACGTATGAGTGTAAAGGGCGTAATGATGTGGAGGTGGCCATCTTACATGTCCTAGCATTGTGACAAAGATAAATAAAAGCATGCGGCTGATGGTTCGTATATACCTTATCACCCATTTCCTTTTCAGAATCCTAATGACAATGGAATGCGATTTGGCTTATAGGGTAAGTTGTAGGCCTCTCTGACGTGGAGGTAGTGTTTTTATGCTCCCAGAGTCTGGTATCAGTCAGTAAAGCCTATATAAATGGTTTGGCTACTCTGCGCGATATTCACTATAGAATTCTCTACATATTGGACAAAGGAGACCAGGTGAGCGGCGGTAACCATAAGAGGTCCCGTACAAAAGTATTTCTTTCT